ATGAGAAAGATAACAACATTTAACATAATAAGAATGATGGGAAAGTTAACAACATTTAACATAATAAGAAAACTAACATTTAACATAATAAGAATGATGAGAAAGATAACAACATTTAACATAATAAGAATGATGGGAAAGTTAACAACATTTAACATAATAAGAAAACTAACATTTAACATAATAAGAATGATGAGAAAGATAACAACATTTAACATAATAAGAATGATGGGAAAGTTAACAACATTTAACATAATAAGAAAACTAACATTTAACATAATAAGAATGATGAGAAAGATAACATTTAACATAATAAGAATGATGAGAAAGTTAACAACATTTAACATAATAAGAATGATGGGAAAGTTAACAACATTTAACATAATAAGAAAACTAACATTTAACATAATAAGAATGATGAGAAAGATAACATTTAACATAATAAGAATGATGAGAAAGATAACATTTAACATAATAAGAATGATGAGAAAGTTAACAACATTTAGCAATCGATGCCGAGGAACCCACTTAGAGACTAATAATGCTTGGAGACGGCTTGAATGGGTAATGAAGAAAAACTTTAATATAAGTTTAACATAACAGCAAGTGTCCAAGGTTTTGTACTGTCTCCAAGCATTATTAACATTTAACGTAATAAGAATGATGAGAAAACTAACAACATTTAACATAATATAATGATGAGAAAGTTAACAACATTTAACATAATAGAATGATGAGGAAGGTAACAACATTTAACATAATAAGAATGATGAGGAAGATAACATTTAACATAATAAGAATGATGAGGAAGATAACATTTAACATAATAAGAATGATGAGGAAGATAACAACATTTAACATAATAAGAATGATGAGGGAAAGCTAACTATGTTTAACATAATAAGAATGATGAGGAAGATAACAACATTTAACATAATAAGAATGATGAGGAAGATAACATTTAACATAATAAGAATGATGAGGAAGATAACATTTAACATAATAAGAATGATGAGGAAGATAACAACATTTAACATAATAAGAATGATGAGGAAGATAACAACATTTAACATAATAAGAATGATGAGAAAGCTAACTATGTTTAACATAATAAGAATGATGGCAAAGATAATATTTAATATAATAAGAATCATGAGAGCATGGTCAGGTGGTTAGGGTGCTCAACTTGCGAACTGAGGGTCGTGGGTTCAAATCCCTGTCCCACCAAACATGCTTGCCCTTTCAGCTGTAGCAGTGTTATAATGTGATGGTCTATCTTACTATTCGTTGATAAAAAAGTAGCCCAAGAATTGGCAGTGGGTGGTGATAACTAACTGCTTTTCCTTTTGTCTTTCATTGCTAAATAAGGGAAGGTAGTGCAAATAGCCCTCGTGTAGCTTTGCACAAAATTCAAAACAAACATGAATGATGAGGAAGCTAACAATGTTTAATATAATGTGTAAAAACACAGGATTTAGGTATGCTAGGAAGGTAGAAAAGACTGTAAGTTCATGTAAATGAGATAAATGAAAAAAATATTTTGGCAGAATTAATAATACAATTTCATACAAAAAGAGCTTTATTGAAGTACAAAATGTGGGAATACAGGATTTTAAGTCTATGGATTGAGTTTGTAACAAATCAATTGATGCACAACCTAGTATCAAAACATCATGTATAATAAAACTTGTTAATAACAGGTGGTATGTTTTGCAAATTTAGTTACTAATAAAGAAATGTGGTCATTCTAGTGAACTTTGCATGTGTGTGTTATGTATTTCTGTTCTAAAAATGGGGATATATAAGTAGTTTTGTATTAGTGCTTTATTTTATGATGTGTAATTTTGTATTGTTAATGTATATTACCTTTTGTATTGGTGTTTTACATTATCTTGTGTAGTTCTGAATTGTTAATGTATATTATCCTGTGTAGTTCTGTATTGTTAATGTATATTATCCTGTGTAGTTCTGTATTGTTAATGGATATTATGCTGTGTAGTTCTGTATGGTTAATGTATATTATCGTGTGTAGTTCTGTATTGTTAATGTATATTATGCTGTGTAGTTCTGTATTGTTAATGTATATTATCCTCTGTAGTTCTGTATTGTTAATGTATATTATCCTGTGTAGTTCTGTATTGTTAATGTATATTATGCTGTGTAGCTCTGTATTGTTAATGTATATTATCCTCTCTAGTTTTGTATGGTTAATGTATATTATCCTGTGTAGTTCTGTATTGTTAATGTATATTATGCTGTGTAGCTCTGTATTGTTAATGTATATTATCCTCTCTAGTTTTGTATGGTTAATGT